GTGCCTGCGTGCCTGCGTGCCTGCGTGCCTGTGTGCGTGCGTGCGTGCGTGCGTGCCTGCGTGCCTGCGTGCCTGCGTGCCTGTGTGCGTGCGTGCGTGCGTGCGTGCGTGCGTGCGTGCGCGCGTGTGTGAGAGAGAGAGAGCGCGAGCAGGAAGAGGACACGAGGAAGCGAGCATCTCACACTATCTGCTCCGCCATCACACACACTCTCATTTCTTCACGCGCCGCTCGGCCCTGGGGAGACACGCGCCCCACGGCAAGCAGCCCGCGCTCTCTCTCTCTCTCTCTCTCTCTGTCCATCATTATAATAACCTCTCGCATTTCTTTAAAAGCGCGCGTCTGCATACGAAATCGCGCTTGCATTACGCACGCGGTAAACTCGATTAGAAACTCAGGGCAGACGAAACGCGAAAGTGGCCGGAAAATTGCCAGCGTATAGCGTTCGACCTGTTTAGGTCAACGTTAATTTGCGAAATCCTAAATTCCAGTCAGCGCAATTAAGTGTGCTCACAAAACAGTCTGAGCTGCGTTCGCCATTTGTCTGTAATGGGCTGGAGCCCTGAGACCTGCTTCATTAAATTTTTATCGAGGAAAGATTTTCCACTTGTTATTCCCAGGCGGTGCGGTTTAGCCGCGCATTTTCTGCATACACGTACATGCACGCACAGCGCGCTGTATATAATAAACACTTCCTACCTCCTCCCTCCTCACTGCCTTCCCCTCCTCCCTCCTCACTGCCTTCCCCTCCTTTCTCCGTCTCTCCCCTCTCACCGCCTTCCCCTCCTTTCTCCGTCTCTTCCTCCTTTCTCCGTCTCTCCCTCCTCACCGCCTTCCCCTCCTTTCTTCGTCTCTCCTTCCTTCCACCGTCTCTCCCTCCCCACCTTATTCCCTCTTTTCTCTGTCTCTCCCTCCTCACCGCCTTCCCCTCCTTTCTCCGTCTCTCCCTCCTCACCGCCTTCACCTCCTTTCTCCGTCTCTCCCTTCTCACCGCCTTCACCTCCTTTCTCCGTCTCTCCCTCCTCACTGCCTTCCCCTCATTTCTCCGT